CGATTGGTTGCCGTGGCGACGCCCCTCACCTGTGACCCTGTGCAGCAGCGCGGCGTCCTGCACCTCGGCCGGCAGCAGAGAGATGCGCCGGCGCAGCAAAGCGTCGCCGGACGCGGCGTTCTCCAGCTCCTGCAGGGCCCGGATCAGCTCCGAGGTCTGGGGGGGGACAGAGCCTTAAAGGGGGAGCCCGCCACTACAAAGATGGCCGACCACCTAAAGGAGAACCAGCTGTTTCCATCCATCCATCCATCCATCCATTATCAATACCGCTTATTCCCTGTTGGGGTCGTGGGGGGACTGGAGCCTATCCCAGTGGTCAACGGGCGAGAGGCAGGGTACACCCTGGACAGTCCGCCAGTCTATCGCAGGGACACACAGAGACACACAAGGACCAACAACCACTCACACTCACATTCACTCCTAAGGGCAATTTCCCCAATCTCCAATCAGCCTAACATGCAGGTTTTTGGACTGTGGGAGGAAGCCGGAGAACCCGGAGAGAACCCACACAGACACAGGAGAACATGCAGACTCCACCCAGAAAGGTCCTGGTTCCCCCGGGATTCGAACCCAGAACCCTCTTGCTGGGAGGCGACACCACACCACCGTGCCGCCCCTAGAACCAGCCGTTTCAATGGAGAAACTGGGGTTCAAACCCTAAAACATAAGCACCTGTGGGGGCTCAGATGGGGAGCTCTGGGAGGCAAAGCCCTCGTCATCAGGATGAATCTCCTCGTATGACCTCTTCTTGGTTTTCTTTTCTCCATCTGGGATTATAAGGAAAAAAATTACTTATAACCCGCATTGGTTATAACGATGTACATCAGAACCTCTACATAGGAATTTAAATGGTTCCAGGTCCGACTTCGTATGTTAAAATATTCATATTCAAATATTCCACTGTAATTCCTATAATTAGTTCCAAAAACCCACGATAACTCCTTAATAAATACTGTAGATAATTACACATAGGAATAAAACAAATACATTATATAAGAGAGATGTAAAAAGAAATAAATGATAAAGAAATAGGGTTTTTTATTGGCAGATTGAGACTGATATACAGGACATACCCTAACTTTCACTACCTGAACTTTAAACCAACTTAACTTATCTATTTTTGTTTCATTTTTATATTTGATAGATATTTTTCTATGACTTCGACCTCATACGTCGTGTAGGAAATTTACTTTGGGTGTCGAGTCGAATATTTGATCGAATTTCACTTTGGATGTTGGAAAATCCGTCTGTTTAGGCATCGGAAGCAGAGGTTCTGCTGTACAAACATTTTTAAACTGTATAATCACTCGCTCGGTTTAGTAAAACTGATCCTCTGAGCTGCTCAGAGACTGGTTCAGGGTTCAGGCCCGTTTGAGGGGACTTACACAGGACTTGTGAGAGCTGCTCCAGCAGGCTGCTCTCATACACGGCTCTCTCCTGCCAGATGGACAAAACCCGGCCCAGCTGCTTCTTACAGCCCTCCTCTCCGTCCCTGCAACACATTCACATTAAACATCTGGCTCACATCTGCCCACCGGACCTCAGCGGCTGCTCTGATCCAGACAGATCTGAATGGAATACGTTTTTTTTCCTCTTAAACAGATCATTTGCCGGCTAGAATCTGACCTGTAAACGTGTTTGAATGCATCCACGATGACGGGCGCAAAGTCCTGGGTGAACTCGGGTCCTTTCCGCTTGCTGTTCTGGATGACGTCATTGGCCAAGTACAGGAAGGTCAGCTTCCTCGATACCTGAGCTGCGAGGGTTCGGAAACGGAGACATCGGATCAGAAATACTTTAATAACCCCAGAGGGAAATTATTTAACATGAACACAAAAGGATGGAAACTCCTGTTTCTAATCCTGCATTTAAAACCCCACAAAAACACGAATAGTGCCAAATCATCCCCATTTTAGAGACGAGCCTAAAGCATCTTAGAATAGAAGCGGCACAAATGTTTCTATTTTTGAACTAATGATGGTGGAGGTGAACTAAAAGCTCCAGAGGGAAGCGACTATTCCCACAGCTGTGAACAGCAAACTCCCCCTCCAGCTTTCTGACAGAGTCCCAAAATACAACAGGAGGCACCTGAGATGTCATTAAGTTGTTGACAAGCACCTCAAGGAAAAAAACATAAAGACCTAAAGTCCCCACAAACACACACAGACACACTAATGGAAATACATTTACATATGGCTTAACAAGTGTCAGGTTTCAGATTAGCTACTTTACATTAAATCATTGGAGATTTAAAATCTTATCTGGCTTTTAAAAAGTGCCTTTTCATTCCTGCATATTACTCTTGTAGACATATGGTAGCAAATCCTCAGTTAATAATAAAAAATTGACGTCAACCGTGGTTTTCATACAAACAAATACAGACGACAGAGCTTAGAGTGAGATGAGACATTTTTCCTACATTAAACAAAACCTCAAAGTAACCATCACGTAAATAAATACGGGGTGAGGAGCTTCTGTTGATTTGCATCGATACGTTTGTTACAAGGAATAAATTACTGACAAGCATGAAACCAGTCAACTGTGAACTCATAAAATGAATTTCAAACGAGCATTTAGAGATGTAGGAAGCTACAAAAACAGCAAACGCAGGAAACTTATTGCCCCAAAGTTGGCTAGCATTAGCAGCCGTCGTGCTAACGCCACGCTGGGTCTGACCCCAAAGCTTTTCCAGCACAAACACCTCAAGTTTGACAACCAAGCTCCAGTCCGAGGACACGGGCTCGTGCACCCAGACACCCCAAAAACCCGCGTGGGGACCCCCAGAAAAGCGAGCGCGCGGTGTTTATCTCGGGGAGCTAGCTAGCTAGCTAACCGGGAGCAGGCTAACCTTTTTTTAGCTCGTTGAACCACACGCCAACGATAGTCTTTGAGTGTTTCCGGTGGTGGATGAGCCACAGCGACAGCGTTTGAACGCTCTGCTGGGAGTTGCTGAGCTCGGAAAGTTTCTTCTCTAAAGCCGCCTCGGAGAAAGCGGACATCTCGGAGAGGTTTGGGGGGAGGGACCGCGTCCGGGCACTGCGAGGGGCAGCTTCGGGGTCCGTCCCGGGGGTGCTGTCCGCGGGGGAAATCAGCCCGAGTCTCCGGGGCTTTCTGCCATCCAAACGCGTCTCCCGGCGGGGGTCGGGACGGTGTTTGGTCCGGGGCCTCCGCCGCTGCCTCCGGGAGAGATGAGCTGAGCGGCTCCGGCGGGTTTAGCTAGCAGCAGCAGAGCAACTTCCGGCCGGACGGTGCGTTCAGGGCCGGCGGAATTTCCGGCTCCCACTTCACTCACTTGGGCTCGTCGTTGAACACGTTGCTCAGATTCGTGTTCTGATTTCTGCGATTTTTCCAAATACTTAGTTTAAATGACTTGAAATTGAAATATAGCGGAATAAAACCGGGTTGACGAAGATGGTAACGTAGGAAAATAGTCAGATTGACTATAATAGTCAGAACGCTGTTCAGCATTTTCAAGATTGCTTCAATTTGGGGTCGATTTATACAAAAAAATAATTAATTTAATGATTCATAAACATAGAAAGAACATTTAAAACCATAAAACCAAATTAAACTAAAATGTAAAAAATAAATTGTAACAAAAATGTTACATTCTGCGCATGCGTGAACAAAACACTTTCGGTTTGTATTTGCGTTTTTTCACAAACCTTTTTCTGCTTCAAATCCTTTCCCAATTCTTCTTTCACTCCTCAGTTTATCAACAGCTTTTAATCCTTCAGGTATCACCTTTTACCTTTCAAATTACTTGCTGTCATCATTTATAGTGTTCTTCAGTTAAATGCTGCTACTTTTGAGTATTTTTCCACTTTTTTGAGCGTCTTCTTGTGTGTTCATTCACCAGATCAGATCTCTCACAAAGTCACAAACTCGATGGAAATATAAATTAAATTCATCCCTATCTATAAACTAAACATATGATAAATGTTTGTTTTTATTGTAAGGACTTGTAAATAATTCAGCCCAGTCAAAATGTAAACATTCACGTTTTGATAGCTGGAAATATTTTGCTTTAACTTTGACAATTTCTAATCCCCCAACCCACAACAGAGTCATGCTGAAACAACGACAACAAAACATTTTTATTTGTGAGGTCTGAGGTCCCGTCTCACTCCAAAACGTACGAAAACAAAAAAAAATTAACTTTGGCATTTAAAATTTCTGAAGACTTGTTTCAGTGAGAAGAGTTTAGTCTTCCGGTTTAGTTTTATTCTGAGTTCACAGAATAAAAAATAAACTACTTCTGATTTTTGCTTGCTATGAACAGATCATTCTCATCAATTATCACACGATTCACTAAAGAAGGTAAACAATGCAACACATGGTGCCCGTTTTGGCTTTTACTGTGAAAACGGGCTACATTTGGTCCATACAGAAACAACCAAAAACAAAAAAAGCTCACAGTTTTGGCCTCTAAAACACAGAATGGCTCACACACCAAAGATTTAAGGCATCCATCATTTAGCACCACTAACCTGTTTTCTAGACCTGCTTCATGTCCGTCAGTGATCCGTAACGCTGTGCTTAAACAGCCTGAGGCCGCTCAGTGAGATCAGATCTCCCATCGAGGAAAAAACAGTTACTCATCGATCAGACAGTTGGGGCCTCGGCCCTCATCGGTCCGGGTTAACCGAGCGGCCGCCTTTATCTGAGGCCTCTTCCAGGCTTACTGTGCTTTGACACACAGAGCTAATGAAAAACCGTCTGGCCCCTGAGCGAAGGGCTTTGAGCTCACAGGAAACTCCTGCTGCTGGTCAGAGGACCAGTGGATAAATCCACGGCTGAAATGATTACAGTAGTAACAACTGTTCTGTTTTGACCACAGTCTTGTCAGAAACACCCCCAAAAAAGGCTTCTTTTATTCAAAGAGGGGCTCAGAAATAGCTCCCCCCGTAGCAGGCCGCTCGCTCGGGGGGGAGGAAACCGTGGGCCTGCATCACACGCAGCCCGTTGCCGTTGGATACGGGATAACATAATGTCCCCGGGCTGGAGGCGGGTCCGGAGACGCCGTTGGGGGGCGTGGCGCCCTGATGGGTCACATGATCCAGCAGAGACATCTGGAAATGGTCGACGGTCGACTGTGAAGACCTTTGCCACTCCCCCGGACGGGTCTTTTGAAAGTTCAGGGCGGGGTGTGCGGTTTCAGACGGCCCGTGCACGCTGGCGCCGGCCGCGGCGGAGTGAGGGGCGGCGCCGCCGGGGGCGCCGTAACGCCACCACATGGCCCCCGGGGGGCGCCGGGGGTCCCCCCAGCACGCCTGCTGACTGGGATGATGCTGGGGACACTGGTGGACAGCGTCTGAGTCCGTGTAGTTCCACTCCCGACTCCAATATCCCGACTGAGGTGCGGCCTCCTCGTTTAAAGGGGCGGAGCTAAACCACTGCTCGCCGGCGCCCCCCGGAGGCCTGGACCTGAGGGACGGCCAGTCCTGGGGCTGCTCCTCACTCTGCCATTGGGCGTCCTCGTTTCTCCAGCTGTGGCCGAGCCCGTTACTCCACTGGTGGTGAGAGCCCTGCTGCCTTTCGTGCTTCCAGTCCCTGCACTGGTCCTCAGTCCCGTTCGGGTCCTGAGCCTCCTGGAAGAAGGCACCGTAACCGCCTGTGTGCTGGGAGGCCGTAAACGTGACGTGTCCTCTGGGGAAGGGATCACCAGCACCTCCATCTTCTTGATAGAAATCTTGCTCAAACTGAGAGTTTTGGGGCTCAAAGGTGTCGTCCTCAGGGTAAATCTCACTAGACGCTGTGTCGCCGTCTCCCATTTCAGGCTGCAGTAAAGAAACAGGACCGAGGTCGGAAGAAGGAGATGTGCAGGACTCATGATGGTTTTGGCCACTGAAAGATGTCCTCAGGAGCAACATTGAGCCTTTGGGAGAAGGCAGGCTCACACTGAACACAGTGTTGGTCTTGGTGGTCCTCTTCTTCTTGGGTTTGACTCTCTGTCTGGGGATGCCCACGGGGCGCCTGCCGGGGAAACATCGGACTGATATCTTGTTCACGGACGGACCTTGAATGCAGAGCATAAACAGGAAGAGAAAAAGTTCAAAGGGTACAGGGCATAACCAAAAAGGAAAGCAAAAGTAAACCACAGACCTTTGATAGTGTTTGTCTTATTTTGAATAGTTTTGGGTCTAAATCCACCCGACAGCATCTTTAAACCTGGAAAAATAAAAGAATTAAAAATACCAGAGAAAACCTGCTCCGAAAGTACTTAAATATAAATAAATAAATACTAACAACAAAACTGAGGTTGCCTGACAAGGGATGCAGTATGCAGCAAGCACCATTCGTTTATGCATTTTACAGTTTTTCTTCTTCTTTTTTTTTTAAATCAGAAAGAAAGAAAAAGAAATTCAACCAATGGTGCACTAAGCTGTGATGGTTCCACTAGTTTGTCAATGTGGGAAAGACATTGGACACAAAAATTGATATTTACTTAATTCACTTAAATAGTGAAACACAGGAAAAGTGTAGCTCACCACAGTGAAGGGGCGAATTCAAATGAAAACCATGGATTCTTTAAGTCCAAATATGAACAGATAGATGCATACTTAAAAAAACAGAAGAGATAAGAACCGGAGAAAAAGAAGGAAGATTTACAGCCAGTCAAAGGAAACAATCTGTACTTACACCAGTGGTAACTTTTGCCAGTGAATTGCCAAATATGGGATTCTGGTACTTTTACTACCTGAGAAAATGAAATATTGGGGACAATAACAAACAAACACAATCTCTTGAGTAAAAAACAAGCCTTTTTTTTTTTTCCTAGAAAATTTTGAGTTTAAAAAACCCTCGAACAACCGATCTACTGTTAAGATTAGACTTCAACCTTTCCTTTTTGACAAAGCTTAAATGTATGGGTGGCTCCGGTGATCAGTGTGTGAAAGTTAAGCTGCTATGGGCCTAAACTACTGGACAAGATCCCACAATGCATCTCTTCTCACTATGTTCTCTGTAGTATTTAGTAACTAGTGTTCTTCCTTCTCAGCAGGTATTCCTGGTCTAATATCAAGCTTGTTCCATTCTTCCTGTATGTATCTCAGTTGTATTGTAATAAATTGATGTTAGCTGACTTGAAGTTGACCTTTCTGAGGTATCTTCAGACGACACTGTTTTGATTGTGTGCTATAAATAAAATCTCACATTTAACATAAGGTTTGGAGAGTTTTTTTCCCCAAAAATTTTTAGGGGTTCATAAACATTGGCCATGCTATGTGTTTCATATAAAGATAAAGAATATATTTAAATTTGATTGCCTGTAATAACTAAAAACTTGAAACATTAAAATCCGGTTAAAACTTTGATGATGTCTGAGGATGTTTATATGCAGAAATATAAACAGTAACAGCATGATTGTTGCAGTGTAAAAAAATGAATAGATTAAAATACCTGCGGCTCTCTTCTGCCCTCTTTTTGCTCCACTTTCTCTGCCAGTAATTGGAGAAGCTGGTAGTTATCTTGAATGTCTTCACCGATCAGATCAAACTCATCCGACTGAGTCTCAATCTGAACAAAAAGAGGTAAATCCAACTTAAATTCGGTCTGCACTGTAGAATTACACATTAAGATTTGTTACATATTATGTAAACACGTCTTCTATGTCCATAGAAAACCCACCAAGTAGTTAGTAATATGGGAAATGCTGGTTAGGTGATCAGAGATGTCCTCTTTATTGGATTTGATACGGCAGCAGTGGCATAAGAAACCGAATGAGTGGCCATCTCCACTTCTCAACTCAACTAGATGCCCCAAACCTGTAGCATGTACATTGAGGGGGGAAGAAAAAAAAAAAGAATCAACGGCCTTATGTTCAACATGGTTGATACCTTGAGACTTTGTGCAATTTAACTTGGCATCAGCATAAATGGCGAAAGAATACTGGCTTCTTTAAACACAACAAAAAGCAGCTGAACTGGTTAATTCATACATGTTAATAATAATAAAAAAACTCCACAACCACTGTGTTAAGTTTCATCTATGCTCACCAACAAAAGGCCCGGCCCCTGAGTCATTATAAAGAAAGGGTGATGCCGATTCGCTCTCCGAGCACACTTGGGACTCGGCCCAAAAAGCTACATCTTCAGGAGGTAAAGGTGGAAATCTGCTGATTCTGGTCAAGATCTTGTATGACTTTGCGTCAGCCTGAGGGGATGTTTCAGGATCGCTCTGCTGGCTTTGCTTTAACAAAACGGTCCGCTCTGATTGGATGGGATGGTGCAAAGCTGCCGTTTCTGTGAAGCTCTCAGATTCACCCATTTCTTCTCTCAGGCTGTAAATGAGGTTTACTGCTGTGGGGTTAAACAAATAAATAAAAATAAAGACACGTAGAAATAATGACATAACGAAGAGGACTCATCGAGCATCAAAGGAATGAAAAATGAAGTTGAGACAGCCGTTCTTCTAAGCAAATAAATGTTCACACTAACCCTGATTTTCTCTCTGCGTTGCCATCCTCTGGTACACAACATCTTCAACTTCTAAATACTTCAAATGCAAGAATATATGAGCCTACTTTCAGAGCCGTTTGTCGTTTTCGGGCAGCAAATGAAGACACAGGCAGTCAGAACATCTTACCTGTACGTCTCCAGGGCCTTCTTTGGCCTCCAGCACCTTAGCCAACTCCATGAGTGGCCAGGCTAGCTTGGATAGGTCAGAGTTATCCGGCCATTTAGGCAGGAAGTGGGGGTAAAAGGCTTTCTGAGAGGCAAAACATCTCCGGTTAAATCAAGGTAACCGCAGATCTCTGCAATCCTGACCGTTCTTCAGTGCGACTTACAATGTAGCTGAATCTGTGAAGACTTCCCAAAATGTGGTTGCGCATATCGGCTTTATTAAGCCGACACACACACACCTCACACAGGAACAACGCCTCCCTGTTCTGGGCACCCACACATTCGACGATGCTGCTCAAGCCTAGACGTGACGAGCAGAAAACAAAACACTAAAGAAAATCACAACTTGGATTCAGCATAAAAATACACATTAAAGAGGAGTTCGGGGCTACAGACCAATGATTGGCTGTAATCTCTTCTTGTCGTTTAGATACACCTCCAGAGAATCGAACAGCTGGCTTTTGCTTGGACGCCCTACAAAGTGAGAACACATCAGACAGACATGTTCACGCAAAATGGAAACCAGGGTAGCCTTCAGGGAGCTGGCTGGAGGCGTGCTGGTTGTGGCTCACCAGAATGCATCGTGGGGTTGGAGAATCGCCGCCTGTCCACAGAAACCGCAGCAGGAAGTTAAACCACATTATCTAAACATAGCGCTTAGGCACACTTCAGTCAACGTTAAAACAATGGCAGCCCTCCATCATTATACATGTGCTGTATCTACCATTATTATGTTGTTTCATGAAAGGTTTGTGGCATTATAGATCCAAAAAGTGAGGATCATCAATATAGCCGTGATCACCATGAAAAAGGTGAGTTTAGATGTCTGTTTTTTTTTACTTCTGCAACACCTACCCCAGTACATTTTATGCATATACAATTAAGCTTCCTGTTATGATGCTCGATCTGGTTTTAATCTCCTAATTTCTGGGCTGAGACCAGTTTGAACAATTTAAGAGACAGGGCATGTTTCACTCATGTGGAACTGCTGAGAATTTACATTATATAAACCAAACCCGTAGTCTGTCAATATTTAATTTAAGATTTCTGATTATATACTTTTTTTTTTTTTTTTTGTCATTTTCCTCCTTAATTTGGATAAGTTTTAAGAAAGTATTAGCCAACTGTAAGCTTCTGTTCTAACCACCAGGTGGCGCTGACATACAGCCATATTTCAGGTCCATCACGCAGGTGAACGCTGACATTAAGCTTTATAGTTTGTTTGTAAACGAATGTTTCCATGGTGACCGTTTACATTTGATATTTAATTCACAAGCTAGTCACCTATCATTATTAACTTATGATTTTAAAAAATGTGCACAAACAGCTCCGTCATTCACCATAGGACCGTAATTTGTAGTATCAAACAAACTCAGAGCTATTAGCATTTACATTAATTTACCTTTTTGTCCACAGAGCCCGTCTGGACCCGTTACAGCCCCTCCAGACATAAGCTAAGTCACAAGCAGGGTTTTTTTGTTTTTGTTTGTTTTTTTAGAGTACTCTTGGAAAACACAACTTTACTTCATCGCATTAAAAAAAAGCGAGAAAGGGAAGAAAGAAATACTGTAAACGAAGTAAAACAGTCGCCGGATGCTAACCGTCATTATAACGTCTGTGGCCGAATCACAACAGTTCACATGCGGTCCGACTATTTTTTTAAAGTTTTTAGTTCACCAAAAAAAAAAAAACACTACAACTATCCGCGGGTCCAGAAACAGCTCGTTCTTATTAATTTGTTAAAACAATTACAAGCAAACGCACTTACTTCCGCTTTAAAAACCAACTTGGTGCTCCTCAGACGTCGCCTTTGCTTCACCGTCGAGGAAAACTGGAGTCCGTGAAGTAAACGCGTGACGTAGCACGCTCGTGCACGAGTTCGAGGAGCAGCAAACTTCTGACCGCGTGCCAGATTATTAGCCAGTAAAACTGACCCAGTGTGTCTGTTGGTGGTAAATCTCAGCCGATTTGTACCCGGGTGTGGCCCCTGTGGGACAAGCAAGGGTCAAAGGTCAAAGGTGATCAATTAAGGCCAGCACAATGAAAATCAATCAATTGGTGTTTGTAAACGCTGAGTCTGTAAGTAATAAAGAGGACCACGTGCATCTGCGGCTGTTCAATGATGAGATAAGATAAGATAAGAGCTTTGTTGATCTCACAGTGGAGAAATTAACTGGTCACACATCGGGTAGAGTTCAAAAGGAGGAAATAGTCCATAAAGTACAAACAGCAAAAACAAACAAATATACAAAGAAGCAACACAGCGCAGAGATTTGAGTGACTAAAATATGTACAATCATTGATGGCTCACACACAGTACACATATTGCACAGGCCAATAAATATAATACAATTATTATTGTCAAATATCCGGTTTTGACTTCTCAGAGCGAATCTCTGGTTCTGTCTCAACACGTTGGACTGTGTCCGTCCATTTTTCTGTGAAAGGTGACGAGTTCTGTGTTTAACCTCTCACATTGTTAACATGAAAGCTGATAAACACACAGTACTAAAGAGCATTCTCCACTAAGGATGCTTCTCTTCCTTCTCCTCTGGGGCTGTTGGTACCAAACACATGAGCACCTCTGCTAACTTTCCAGTTTTCAACTAAAAAAGAGGATTGGGGAAATTTTGATTTCTTCCATATGTCAAAAATAAATAAGAAGGAAGATCTTCTAAGATGCTGAATTAATCTCAGTCAAGTCACTCATCGCATTGTGTTGTTTTCTGTGATCTGAACGCTGACAAAACATGTTAAGAAGCGCTGTATGCAAATGAGAAAAACAGGTCAAATGTCGTCAGCAACTCAGGGCCTAGTTGAGATAACATGTAATGGGGCTCTGAATGCTTTTTAAAGGGAATTCCAGCCGGGATCCTCCCTGACCCCCTCTAAAGCCAGATAAGCCTCCTTAGACAACCTCTGTATGAACCTTTGTGCAGGGACCTTAATCCGAACACACATTTTGCTGTCAGAGATAATGAATGAAACAATAGCTATTATGACAAATACATGAATTATTTAACACACACATCAACAAACTGTTTAGGCTTTAATTAGGTGACTTTTACAAACACCTGTGGCTCGTCTTGTAGTGGATTAATATCCCACAATGAATGTATTCTCATCACAATGATTAATAGTGTGCTTTAACATATATCTGGGAAAATAATTTAATAAGAAAATAATGTGTGGCAGTGGGAAAAACCTTGGTCCATGGGTAGTTACTAAAGAAGGAGTGGTATGGGGCGTGTATCACCTTAGAAACCATGGCAATGAACTTAGAACTTTTGAAAGACTTAGCCCGAATTCACTACGTCGTCGGGAGGACATCCACAACAGTCTCTAGTCGAAGAATTTACTATTTATCATCTCTGATGTTTAAATTCCCTACAGTTTCAAGGTTGTTCTCATGGAAATCAAAATTGTGGGTCATCATCCAACAAAAGCTGCTCTTTCTCAAACATTGTTATTGAGCGAGACTTAAAAAGAAAAAAAGACATTAATTTGTCCAAGGTTTCCCCCTGACTGGGACTTGTCCAGCTGAAACATTTCAGCTGTCCTCCAACACCAGTACCTCCTACCTCCCTCCATCCTTTGTTCCTGTTCCACTGATACCGAGCGGTCTCATTAGCATGAAAAATTGGAGACATGCACATAAATATGGCAGAAGTAATGACCCAAAAAAAAAGTTTAGGCTAAAGTTTTAACATGCACAACCACCTAAATTCAGAAAGCGATCAGATATTGAAATATTTTGACTCATTTATTGTCCTATTTCAGGCTCTTACACAATCTCTGGGTATCAAATTATGGGTATCTGGGTATGATGCAAGTCCATTAAAATGTATGATGTACACTGAATTGGTAGTTTTTTACTTGGTTTCTTATTTCTGTACATGGATGAATGGATAAAGACTCAGTCAGGTTCCTTTATTACAGAATTGTTAAAGTAGTGAAACAGTAGAGGTTACAACCAGAGCAAAACTTTAGGATGTCGGCATTGAATTCCTTCCACAGGCTTGAAAATTGTTATTTTCTGTCTTATAAAAAATGTATACTAAAATATAGAAACTACTTTGTCTATTGGAGGTAATTTAAACAAATTTAAAATGAACAAATGCATCTGGAACTCCACAGATGGGCATTTATCAGCATCCGAAGGTCTCTATTATACTGTGATCATGGACTTAAACTGGCCTGACTCAGCCTTTTATCAGAGTGAGTTTATTAACTTTTCCCAAATAAATCCAGTATGTAGTAATATACCCAAAACCGTTCAGCCGGAGCTGCTGCTGAAGTTTCCTTAAGACCAGAAATAATGGATCGTATCATCCAGAGGGATCTACAAATACTTTTTGGCCGTATATGTGGAACAAGCTTTCAGAAAAACTGCATCAGCCACTGCCACATTTAACTCAATGTGGCTTTTGATCATTGCATTTTTATATATACATGATATATTTTTAAAAAAAACACACACAACAGCTTGAAATAATTTTAATCAGACAATTTACAAATAAAGATTCATTATTCAGAAAGATAAAATGACAGGAATGACTTACAAATGTCAGAAAATGTGTAAAAATAAGAGAGTGGAAAACAGGGACGAACCCGTCCTCCACCGGAAAAGTCTGTAAATACATCAACAGAATTTCATCCTCTAGGAAAAACTACTGGAAAATGAACCACTTGTTGCACCAAAATATGGAAACCATACCCTCCCCTTAAATTACAATTTAAAATTACAATAAGTAAAACAGGAATGTTTGTACAGAAAAACAGAAATAGCACTGCAACCACTTCAGTATCTCATCGTTAAGCTCTGAAATTTTTCTCAGAATTTTGAAATTCTGGTCAATCGTATTGGTGCTGGGTAGCATAAACAAAACAAAAAAACAAAGACAAACTGAGCACAAAAGGGCAACTTAAACGTCTCTTCCTGGTTCATAATGTTCTGAGCAGAGTCATTAACACAGCAGCCATGTTTTTTCCCTTTGGGTCACACGTGGCCCTTCATGGTCCTCAGAAATAAGCCGATGTCTGTGGAGGCGGAGCAGACTCCAGAGATCACGATCTGTCTCTCTTCCTCCTTTACCGCCTCGGGCCGAGCAGAGGGACGCTTTTTCTTCACCGTTGCTTTGACCAGCAGAACCTTTGAATCCAGCCTTCGTCTGTTTGCTGCAGATTCACGTTTAGGTTTCGCCGTTTTTGAATCCCACCGACTGGAGGTGGCGGAACAGGAAGTGTGAGTCTCGGCGACTGGAGCCAATCCAGAGGACACGTCTGTCTTTCTCAACTCCGACAGGCGTTGGTTTCGTTTGGGTTCTCTGTATTCATCCGTCTCAGATGGTGGCTTAGAGTTCCCAGCAGGAGTAACTGAAGAGGGGTCAGGGATAGTTGAAGAAAGGGGCTCACTCTTAACCTGCACTTTGTTGGGACTCCATTTAGCTGGCAAAGGGTCCTGAGAGCTGCTGCTGAGAGCTCTGTGCAGCGTCCCAACAGGCACATCTGCCGGCCTCTTCCTGGGCGGAGGACACTCACTTTGGGGAGACACTCCAAGGCTTGGACCGCTAACAGGGACGATATTAGTCAATTCTGATTCTTCCTCTTTCCGTCTAAGTTCCAGTCGGGGGTCAGGCCT